TTAGACCATTCCATGGAAGGCTGGAGAACACGAGACTTCTAATTATTATTTTTATTTTAGAGATCTCAATAATGCTAATAGAGATTAGCATTATTATTTTTATTTTAGAGATCTCAATAATAAGGGCCTTGCTAATAGCCACGAGGGCTAATAACTAACTGCTATTACTCAAACTTAGCCCTATTTGTACTGAGTTTTGCTCTAGAATGCTGTCTGTCCTTTCACCTCCCCCGCTGTCATTAACACAGCTCCTCCACCCCTCAGCTATCCAGCATGAAACAACATAAGCTTCGCAGCCGTGTTGCTTAAACAGCATGTTTTTTTTCCTTTATGCTGTTATCACACTAAAAAAATAGCAGTCAGCCTAAGGTAAATCAAATTCTTAATTACTCAGTTGCTTTATTTACAATTCATATTATTACAAATGTCTTCAGGGAGAGACGCTGGTAGACACAAACTGCCTCCCAATGTTTGTAAACTTCTCGTACGTTTCTGCCTAGTGTAGCTGTCTCCTCTCCCTTATTTTCCCGTTTCCTTACACTGCCACTCTCTCTGTGTTGAGTAAAAGAGAATCCTCAACAAAGACACATCATGACTCTCATGCACATATAAAAATAAAAGCTCAGAAACACTTTTTAAAAGATCATGTGTAATACCTTATTAATGAAGAAATTTAAGAAGCTACAACCAGTTCAAGGGAAAACCCCAAACGCAAACTCTTCCACACATCAGAACATTCATATAAATGTGCGTGTGTGCAACACTGGCTTCCACAGTGGAGGAGGGAAGGCAGTGGAACCTGCACCCCCTGGAAGTGGCTTGTCCATAGAAGAATTCTTTATTGTCAGAAAACAGTGTGTTTATTTCTAAGCAAAGAAAAAATCTGGTGGCCGAGTGCAGTGGCTCACACCTGTGGTCCTAGCAGTCTGGGAGGCGAGATGGGTGGATCACTTGAGCTCAGGAGTTTGAGAGCAGCCTGAGCAAGAATGAGACCCCATCTCTACTAAAAATAGAAAAACTAGCCGGGCGCTGTGGTGGGTGCCTGTAGTGCCAGCTTCTTGGGAGGCTCAGGCAAGAGGATGGCTTGAGCCCAGGAGTTTGAGGCTGCTATGAGCTCTGACACCACAGCACTCTACCCAGGGTGGCAGAGTAAAACTCTATCTCAAAAAAAAAAAAAAGATAAGGAAAAGTCTGGCAACCTAGACTAAAGAATGATTAAATATGTCTTGGAAGTTAGAGACAGTAAATTGCTCTGAAGAGATTGAAAGGCTTCTCTCACCCAGCCCCATTTGCTTACTTTCTAAGAGTAATAAAAGCCTAAAGACTTGTACTTTCTCTCCTCTATTTTTTTATTTTTTTGGCAGTTTTTGGCTGGGGCTGGGTTTGAACCCACCACCTCAGTATATGGGGTCGGCACCCTACTCCTTTGAGCCACAGGCACTGCCCTGTACTTACTTTCCTCTAAAAAGAATTTGTGACATTCCAGAGCCCAAATCTCTCACTCAGGGGATAGGAGGAGGAGAGATCCTGCTGGCTACACTCTATCAAGTCTAAGCCTCATAATCTTGGGGTTCCTTTCTGGGGGTGTAACTCCAGCATGCACAGGTGCACCTGGCCCTCAGCACATCAGCGTATGGAAAGAGGTGTGAAGATTCCCTGTTACGAAGTGGCCCCTGCTCCAGAGGTCCTCTGTGTCTGTTAGGGTGGGTGGGTAGACCAGCGGGAGATCTGTATCCGTGGCAAGATAACGCATTAACTTGCAAGTAGGGCAACATCTCAGCCCCTTCAGTTTCAGAGGCAACATTATTTTTCAATCCTATTAAATACCCACAGTTTCCAGAGTTTTATAAAACAGCTCAAAGGCAATCAATGAACATTTCAGAGCCACCATAGAATCAAATTCAGACAATGCATTGTTTTTATTCATCCATTTGTTTGGGTTATTCCCCCATTTCTTCAACAAATACCTTCTTTTACGTGTTGTTATACCAAGCCCCTGTGCTCTGTGCTGGAAAGACTGTGGTTCGCAGATCAGAAACTGTTCCTATTCTCCTACAGCAGTGGTTCTCGACCTTCCTAAGGCCGCAGCCCTTTAATGTGGTTCCTGTGGGTCTCGACCCACAGGTTGAGAACCACTGTCCTAGAGTTACAGACTACTGAGCTTACAGAATGGCCTCCAATAAAATAGGTGACGCAGTGTCAAATTATAAATTGTGATAAAGCAGAAGTATATATTTTTCATGATTTTTCTTTCTAAATAAGTGTAGAAACCTCAGATAACATATTCCTGTCTGAAAGGACAGCAGAGGCCCTACAATGAGAATTTTCACAGATTTCCTGATGCATCAGGCACATGGGGTTTGGAACCCAGATACGGAGACACCCATTTCCATAGCTCATGATCTGCTGTGATGATTCTGGGCTGTCTGCTTTGCCGTGGAAATGTAGAGGGGCTGATGAGCATGACATCTGTTTGACATCATACCTTGTAGTGCTTTTTGTTAGAAAATAAAATTGCTTACAGAAATGTCTCCACAGAGAAATATTTTAGAATTCCAGCATTTCAGTAATTACCTGAGGTGCCTTTAATGATTGTCCCACCTTGTAGCCTTGAATCCCTTACAGCACCTGTCAAGGTCTTTAGAGTCATGTGTTAATTGTGACCCAGTGGTTGCTAAACTGTAGGGGAGTCTCTCTCAGTGGATCCGGAAGGCAAAGAGACAAACGCTTCCAGCGTGTTTATTTTAGGCTCTTTTGGCAGCCGGGTCATAAGATTCGCCACTGATTTGCCACAAGAGAAGGGGGATAGTTTTGTTTGACAGTAAAAGCAGGGTCACAGATTTACCTGGTTAATAATATCTTTCAACTTCTGATAGCCAAGGATGAGTTAGCTAACATTATAGGATTTCACGCCTACTGTGTTGCCTCATTCTGCCAATTTATTTTCCAAATTTGGAAATGGACGCTCAGATTTTACCCGACTTGATCTGACTCAGATCTGGTACCTTTACCAGATCTGTCCCTTAGCTCTCCCGATGGCCTCAACACTGTCCTGCTGGCCGCCCATGATGAATTTCATTAGCTTACGTAACAAGTTCTCTTTGAGAAAAGCATTCTTCTGATAGGGTGAGCTGAAAAGTAAAGGGGAAATAGAAGTAAGAGCTATTGTTTCGCAGATAATAACCCACATTAGCAAGGCACCGGGCTGTGGTGTTTATCTGGCCTGCTTTAGCCTGCCTCTCTGTGCCAGCCTTTGAGGCCTGTGAGAGGGGTGGGAAGGAGACTTTGCAAAGTCCATCTCCTTAATCGTACTTTGATTGTTGAGCCGTGTAAATGTATTAGCTAAAAAGGGGCAGGGGAAAAACTATCACTGTTTTCCTCCAATTTAGAATTACTCTGTAATACAGAAGAGTTATGTGACTTAACAGCACATATAAAGTGGGGTATTGGCAACTTCCAATCTGTTTTTTGCCTATTAAATCAGAGCCTTTTGATTAATCTGTTCCTGTGCCTGCATACATCACAGCACGTTCAGTGTAAAGTCTATTCCGGGCAAGTCTAAGGGTGCATACGCTCTGCTTATCTTCTCTTATAAACATTGTGGGACTTTTCTTTCATCTAAGTAATTTTGATAATCAGTATGATGGAAATGTTGGCAGATGTTCAGGTACCAGTAGCGATAGGTCTGGTTGATACTCCGTGATATTTTATTTTGTGTTAGTTGAGTTGCCAGTGCTGTGTCAGATGTACTTAATTCAGGAGAGTAACCCCCTTTTGTATGGCTGAACTGTGTAGATCTCATGAACCAAAATGAATATTTCACTTTGATTTAAGAAGAAAGATATGCATAGTCCTAATTAAATGGTAACTAAAGAAATGTACCCTGGCTATAACATTGGTACTTTCCTTTTCCTGGTAATATAAGTAAAGTCATTACTTAACATTATGTAACATGAAATTTTTCACTAATTCTATCACATTTTTTTCATAATGTAGCATCACTAAATTCTGAGTGTGTCAATAGTCAATAAAGTTTTATAATTATAATAAACAGCATTCTTCTGTTTCTTTTTCTCTCTTTTTTTTTTTATTGAATGGTAACTGTGTACATTGATGCACTTTGGGGGTACAGTGTGGTGTTTTCACACACAATCCAAGACACTTCCATCAAACTGGTTAACATAGCCTTCATGTAACTTTCTTAGTTATTATGTCAAAACATTCATATTCTACTCATAGAAAGAT